CAAGTATAAAAATTTCTAAAGTCATTTAAAAGAGCATTTGCTCTCAAATTCTGTTCATCCAAGCTGAGGGAAATATGATTCTGTCCAGACTGGCAGTTCCCAAATATCAAAATCTTCTATCTAATCCTGTCTCAAATAATGAAGGTAAAAGAAAAACCACTGGGTCAGGCATCCAAGCACCAGCTGCATATTATTTTCAAGTTACTGTTTTCCTGCACTGCTAGTCATTTGCAAAGAACCATAGCACAGGTCAACCCAGTGAGTTTTCTCAGCTGCAGAAAGAACTCTCCAAACAAATAAGCCCTGGATATTAAAGCTGAAGAGTTCAGCAATTAGCGCTGATGTCTGAACCATGAGGGAGGCAACCTGAGGAAATACAAAAATAAACGAACTGTCCCAAGCCATCAATATGACACAAATGCCTATATGTGTTCTGTCAGCAACTGAAATTTAGAGAAAAACAAGTGGTGTTTTGGACTCACTGCTCTACAGTATGTCCTCTGGACTCCTTGGAGTCTCCTGACAATCAAAAACAGGCCCCATCAGCAGCGCAAGGCAGGGAGAAAGGCAAAAATCACAATTCATAAACTTAGCAGTGCTCTACATGTTGAAAAAAGTCAGGTGTGCCATGTGGTCTCAGTGGTCACCAGCACCTGCTGGGGGTCAATGAAATGCCCCATCTTCTGCACATCACAGTTTGCCCGTTCCACCCAGGGTCTAATCTTAGTGTTTACATTTTTTCCTCCCAGTCTCACAAAGAAGCTAAGTAACAAAATTCTGCATTCTCTTTAAGCAAAGCTTCTAACGCCTGGTTAATGCTATATAATGCACTAATGCTCAGTGCAAACACTTCTTAAATGCAGACCAGGACCATATTATCCCATGGGGAAAGATGAAGGTACATTACACATAAAGATGCCAGAAAGAGGTGAAGCATTAAGGTAATTTACAGAAAAGTGATATGAAAAAGCTTACCTGGATCCTGACATGCCCACACACACAGAGTTAAGATGCTCAGATGAGGTGTTAAGAGACCTCACAAACCCACACAGGCATCTCTATTGGAATCAACATGCAGAGTTTGAATAGTCTGAACCTGTCCAAATGTGCTTTGTTTTTGCTTTTTTTTTGCTAGCGCTAACCTTTTGATATTTCCTTAAGCTTTTGCCTTTTGCTAGCCTAATGGCAGAGAGAGAAACAAAAAGCTAAAGCTCTCTGTCCCCCTATAAATTTGCTGATTTGGCCTGTCAGACCAATTGTTCTCCGAGACATTTCTCTCATCTCCCTGCTACTCCCCGTTCCCAAGGCACGCTCTTGGGAAACTGACCTCTTTTGCACCACGTATTGAGACTGCAGAGTTTTTCTGCCTCGTGAGATGGATCGTGCAGTATTCTCAGACTACACAAGCTTTTATTTCTGAATAAGCTGACCTCTGGCATACCGACCAGTTCACATCTCAATTTAACAGCTCTCACTGGCTCTGGATGCCAGTCGTGTGATTTCTGTGCTCTATCAGTTACGAGCTCTCACACTACACTTACAGGCAAGTAGGCAAATACACAATTAAAGGCTTCCTGAAGCCACCTTTCAGGATGTTTTAATACGCAAACACAATGTAAGCTGCACGGGCTATTCAGACTCACTGTCAGAAACATTCCAGTGACCTCCCGAAAGCAGAGACCGTCCTTACTGTCTGTGTTCAGCTTCTAACAAAGGCAGCTTTGTTCCATTAGAAACGGCCTTGCCATGCACTACGAGCCTATCTTGGGGTTTCTGGAGAGCATCCATTAAACATGTTCTGAGTCAAAGTTCCTAGATACAACTTCTAAGCAGTTGTGACTGAAGATGACATTTTTATCAGTTCATGCTCTTCAACTCCCGAAACCTTTGTCCGAGCAACCAAATCCACTGATAACTACACCCGTAACCTCAGAGTTATTTTGTCTTTTTAAAAAAGCTAAAGGCTGCTTAAAATACAGCACATGTGATAAATGTCCAAGTTTAGGACACTTTTGTAACAAAACGATGAGTTTTGCTACCTTAGAAGAGCTTGAAAATGAGAAGTGGCAGTTAGCTTGGAGGTATTTATTGATAAAGAGGCTTTTGTTTGAAAGCCACTCGCACTGTTTACACAAATGAAGCTGTAGAAAGTGAGCACTAAGTTTTGTTATAGCTTAACAGTATTGCATAACTCAGGAAACAAAATATGCTTTCATTTAAGTTTAAAAAGGAGTTACTAATTCTGTTTTTACTCCAAGTTATACAAAAACAAGTTCTTAAGCCACTACGCTTCCCAGACAAAAAAGAATAAGATTATAATGTTAGCTTGTGTGGTATTTTCCATTCTTTCCTTTTTCCCCTCTCACTGCCTTTGAAGACTATTAATCAAAAGGGTTTTAAAGAATTTCCCTAAAAATACTGCTATCCCCTCCACCTCAGCTTTAAATATTTTAAGTGAGAAATTTACAAGTAGGTTTAATGGGTTTGAAGGCTCATTCACTGAAAACACAGGAAAAAACAAATACCTATTTGCACACATAATTATACTAATATGTTCAGCTGTGTCTTCGAACCATCCCGAAGGAGCAGCAAAGTCTCCGGGCTCATTAACGTTTAGTGTCTATTAAGCTATCTAAAAAGATGGCAATTACCCCCTAACACATGATGTGGATGTAACACCAGTATTTGTCTAGCAAAAAATGGGCTCACAATAGTTTAGTTTTTCCAGTCACATTTCAGGTAAACAGAGACTTTAAAAAAGTATTATTCCTTGAAAAGATGGACTTGGGTAACCTGTACTCCCTGACAACACCGCTGTCATGTAACTCTCCATCCTGGGGTGGGAATTACAAGCTGAGAAAATACCCAGCCTCTGTCTGAAGGCCTTAGCTACAGGAAAAGGAGAGAAGTCAAAAGGATGCTGAAACATAGGGATACCCAGTAACTCCAAATGTACTCCCATTATACAGCTCCTACCTTAGGTTTGTGCTTCACACAACACATTAGACTCCCTAAATGCAGGTTTAATGCTAAAGAGTTCAGAAGTTCATGATTTCTACAAGGAAAGAAACGGGATGAAAGAAAGATGAAAAGGTGGAGAAGACTGACTCCAGAAATATTCCTAGCCTGACAGCCTCCTTATCCAACCCCTAGCCCCATTTCTGAAAAGAGGCTGGTACTTTTTGTTCCATAGAGACAAAGCAAGGCACATGTCAAGTTGTACGATGCCAAGAAGATCAAACAATATCTTAATGAGGCCAAGTGCATCCTTAAGCCTCATGCTTTACTTCAAACTGGATATAAAGGTACAAGAAAACAAGCATGAACATTTTTATTTTTTAGTTATGTCAGCCATAGGAGTTCTACTTCCAGCACTGCTGTAGATCACACCAAGGCACCAAGCAAATGATAACTAAACTAAACCTCATTAAACAACTTTTTGAAGAGTTTAAGGTTTTCATAACCCTGAAGTATGCTGTGAGTGCACACACATCTGCACAAGAAATTTTAAACAATCCCAGCAATAATTATTAATGATAACAAAAGAGGCTTCTCCGCATTTGTGTTGTGCAAGATCTGCCAACGTTTCCTTTTCATTAGGCCCCATTTGTACTGTATCACTTTCTCTCATTATTGACTTCACACCAAAGAAATTAAAAAACCAAACAAACCACAGCACAGCTCTGAGCATAAGACACGTTTCCTTCGAAAAGAAACCCAAGTCCCTGCTGCCAGGTGCTATGGCATGCGCAGCACTGTTCACAAGCAGCAGAACTCCTATGCTGTTTACATAAAAGATACCAAAGTCACACACTATGCTGCACATTGAGTACTCAGGAGAAAGTAAACAGTGATTCAACTGATTAAGTTAAACACTGGCAAGTCAGTTCCTAAGGGCAAGTATGCAACTCTTGCTCAATTGTTAACAGTTTAATAGGGGCAGAGTAAGCTTAATTTCATAGACTGTAGAGACTAAGCACAACTGCTTCATGTATCAGCATCTAGCTTTGGAACTGTTCGGATGTGAAGGATGCTTACTCCTACTGAAATACACCATGTTCTTTCCATCCCTACCAATTTTCAGATAAATTAATAGCACATCTATCTCATGAAACAAGAGCTCAAATGCAGGAGCAAGGTGTGTCTGTCAGTCTGTCAAACTCACGTGCATGCTCACCATTATTTGTGTTTTACTTCTTCAAACGAGCATGACAGTTTTGGAAGGGATGGCTACCACTTTAAAATCATCTGAGATTCAAATAAGAAACTCACTTTTATGTTCACCTATTATCATGTTAAGTGGACATCTCTAGTTCAGCCTACCTGTAAGCTCTCCTTACTAAACCAGTGCAGCCAGAAAACAAACAAACAAAAACAAAAATAAACACAAACGGTCAACTTTAAAAATAGAGAGTATTCTAACAAGAAAAGCTAAATTTTTCCAAACAAGAGCAATATGACTCTCAGAACGTGAGCATAGGTGAGGCACGGCCAGAGTCTGCAATACTACCTACCATACATCATATATAGTACTCAAAGCTCTGCTGTCCAAGGAGCTGGCTAGCTCCTCAGGTATAACAGGAAAATATAATCCAAATACAATCCAAATAAATAGAGACCTAATCATATCACGAATCTACGGTCAGTAAAATCAAAACCTTGGCTTTTGGATTATGTTAAGGAAATTCTCAGCACATAGATGTGGAGCACATAGATTACAGTGAGAGAGAGCCAAATTCCATTCCAATTCAATGACAGGCCATAGAAAGCCAAAGATTCTGAATATTCAACAAGTGTAACATTTGACTTCTCATTCTTAAAGTGTTAGGCATACACCTTTTACTGAAGTTTCAACCTTGTGGCTGTTGCTCTACTTTGTGATAACACAAAAAAACACAATTTTGTATACAACATCTTACTACGTGCTTGAAAGGAATTCTGACTACCATTAGTAATCATCAGGTATAATTAATAAAATGGTTTTGCGTTTCTACACTTACTTTTTACTTGCTTCGTAAACATCCGTGATATTGGAGAAAAGGTGATGGCTCTCCGTTTTGGTCATGGTGAGGCTCAGTTCTCTGGAATTTTTAAACATCCGGATCAGAATCTCCAGGCTCAGCAAGTAAGAATGCTCAGAAGATATCACTTCAAATATTGCCTGCAAAGTGGAAGGGCGAAAGAAAAGACTTACTATTGACTAGGTGAGGGTAGGTTTTGTTTGGTTTGTTTTAAGGAAAATGTGGAGAAGGGATGCAGAGAGAAGTTGTTGGATGTAATCTAGAAATTGTAATGCAAGCTTTCATTTCCATGAGAGTTTTATCATTTACCTTTGGAAACTAATGATTTCACGCTTGAAAAAAAGTGTGTATTGAAAAGACTTTTCACTACAACTGCAAACAGTGTTCGAGGACAACAACTTAACACCAGCTGTGATCACTCCCTATTCATACCCATGAGAGTTTGTTTTGTTTTAAATTTACAAACATGTCCATGTCTGTGGTCTGCCTGGAAGCTTCACATTGTAATACTGCTGCTCACCAGCCAGAATTAGCTTTTGCTCTCTTAAAAGAGAAGCTGAAAAGTTATTTACTTAAAAAGTACTTGCTTCCCCAAGCATCTGCAGAACAGCAAAATTCCAGCTTTAGTCATCTATCAACACTGATGCCGTGGAGACTTAACACATGAAGTTAGGAGCAGGCACACAAGAAGCTGAGATATCTGCGGCTGGGATAGGAGCCTGGAGGCTGAGCAGCCAGGAGGGGTGGCAGCCTCCATCTGCTTTAGTGATTAGTGAGCAGACAGCAGGCAGCTAAGGCTGAGGGGCAGACCCCCAGTACTTCCCCTCACCTCCCCCTGAGGACTTTCTCTCCAGTTTATCACCCCACCACTTAAGGACCAAAGGCACTGTAACTTCCATCATCTTTGCTGGCACACAAAGCAAACTTCTAGCAGACTCCCGGACTTTGGAATCCACATACTTGTTCCAGTGGAAATTTTATTCTCTGACATAGAAACCCCTCCAGCTTTTAAGCATCTTTTACCTCTCTAGGCTTGATTTGCTGTTAGTCTGCTGGAGTTCTTGTACATACAGAGTGGAAAAAAAACAAAACTCCGAGACCACTTTTGTCATAAGCTCCACAAGCCACATTTTGTCATCACGTTACTAACACAAAATACCATCCACAGAGACAATACAACTTTGCTCCCATTATTACCTGCATGTATAATTTCATCGGTTATTTACAGTTAACTTCTCCAGGCATCCTTAAACCAAAGAAGAAGTACTCTGGATGCACTACTGCAGATCTGAGTACCTAGCGATAATGCCCACGGCTCTGCGGAGGGGGGCAGAGTGTCTGCAGGTGACAGCCTACAAGAGGAGTTCACTTGGACATCTGATGCACGTGCTCTAGAGAAACCCTGATCTCCCCCAGTCAGGTATAAAACCAGAAGAGACCACAGGCATGCTGAAGGCAGTCCTCCTGAATAATCCCATCTGCCTCTCACGCTTCTCTCTGCTGTGCCCACAGAGAAAGGATTTGCCTCGAGAGCGGTGCAGTGCTTTGACTAACTGCTTTCCATCCAGGCAGCTTTCAACACAGGAAGAACATACAGACTCCCATTGTTTTTTGGAGGGGCTTTGTTTATGCTTCTGCTGAGGGCCCTCATAGACTTCGTCCAGTTTGGTGACAGAAAGTCATTAGCACAGTCAGAAATAAATGGGACATTTTCTTCCGATGTCCTAGGATGGGAGAGGATATCCTCTTACCCGTGACCCAAACATTTCAGAGGATAAAAAAGGATTAAGAAACGATCAACTTTGACATATATAACCGCACCACGATCACAGGCTGTGGTGGTATTTACCAGCTGCTTGCTAACAGTGTCTGAGTGACACATGAAATTATGTTGTGGTTAACTTGGTTTTTATCAGCACGAGCAGATACTTGAATTCTGATGGACACTCTACAGAACTTAAGAGACCAGAAGCACACTGGAGTTTGTACACACGCATAAGGTTAGAATTTCCAGCGTGCAAGAAAACTGGAGTATCTATGGAAAATTATTTCAGTCCACATCAGTCTATACATATATGATGCATTTTCTTTAGGTGAAAGATGCAGAGATCCAAATCAGTAATGTTTGGTGAAAGATGGGGTGCCTATGAATGCTGGACATTGACATTTAATTGAGGTATAAACAAATCCATTTTTCTGCAGTGACAATATATTACGATAGCCAAAATAATGCAAGAGTAAAAAGCAATTTAAATAGATAATAAAATAATTGATAAAAGGCAATTTAAAAGAAATAAAGCAAAAACACAATAGCACAACTAAGTCTTAAGAATATTTCTTTGGGTTCTCTCTGAAAGGATGGGCCTCTAATATTCAAATTAAAAAAAAAAAATGCCAAGCTGGAAACATTTCTGATAACATTACAGACCTCATATTTAAAAGGCATCTAAAGAACTTGTTTTCTCTGAAGAGATGTAAATCTGGCTCCAGGAAATGTTGACTAAAGGCTTTTAAAGGCTACAACTGAAATAAATGCCTTGTGTTTCAAAGCTTTTCAGCAGGAGGAGACAGAAAAGCAGAACACATAGCCTGAACTGCTGCACAGCTGACAGCCCCCAAAAGCAGAAAATAGTCAAGAAAATGTAGGATTACTACAAACAAACCAACCCCTACTGTCTCATCATGTATATGCAATACGCGTCTGTATTGGGGTGGATGGGGCTTTGGGCAACCTGGGCTGGCGGGAGGTGTCCCCGCCTGTGGCAGGGGGATGGAAATGGATGATCTTTCAGGTCCCTTCCAACCCAAACCCTTCTGTGATTCTATGATGCATGGAAAACCCCAGCTGGATCTCATCTGGCTACATTCACTGAGGTATGTCCTGAAGGAAATTTTGGAGCAAATTACCATGTCAGGTAATTCTACAGTGCTGCTATTAAAAAACAAAACAAACAAAACAAAAACTAAGAAAAAAAAAAAAAACACCGCCTTTTTTTCCCCCTATTAAAGGACATACCTCAAGAAATGCAGGTATCTAATAGCGGGCTAGGTCAGGCTATTCTTTTCAACACCTCTCATTCATTGTGACATAGCCCCTGTAAGTAAGGAAAGAGGGGAAAGCAGATAAAGAGGACAAAAGGTGCAAAAAAGAAACAGAGAGGGACAGAGACAGAAAGGGACAGAGAGAAAAGATAACTGTATCAGTTACTGCTGCTGGTTTCTGTATTGTTGATAGCACGGATGCTCCTACTTCATTTCAGTGTGAAAGACATACATTAGTTACACCAGGTGCACACTACTCATGTTCAGATTGTTGACAGGATTAGTTACAACTCAAGGGCACTGCAAAAAGTTGTTTTATCTGCCACCTCCTACCCTCTGTGAATGCAGGTGTAATTTTACACCTTCCCAGTCCAGCACAGAACAGGGTTGCTTCTGTCTACTACTGAGTAGCCATGAGCCAGGCTACACCCGCTGCAGTGAGCGTACCCAGGAACCACTCCAGCAAGACCTGCAGGTGTTGGCAGGAGACATGCAGCAGGGATCTGTGCACATCAGCAAGAGACAGGTTTCATTTCTTTATTCTCCCTTGAGAAGACAGCATGCTTCACCCTAGGACAGGAAGCAGTGTGTTCAACTTGCCTCCTTACGAACAAATACTGAGTATTAAATCAGGCGTGTGTGTGACAAAACAAAGAGTTAACAATAGAAAAAGTTATCAACAAAAAAAGAACGCGTTACTTCAAAAAAGTACCTCTTGTCTTTTTCTTTCTTCCTGGCTGATTGTTTCCAATAACCCATTCTTTTTCACCTAAAAAAAATAATAATTTTTAACACATTTTGTAGAAAACATATAAAGTAAACAAAACCAAACATGGAGAACTATTAAAACACTGCACAAAGAAACAACAACTTCAGTACTGAACTAAAAATTCAGATAAAGAATCCATCCACTTCTGAAGACAACGAACCATGAGAAATAAATTTTTAAACAGCTGGATGTTTATAGCATTTATCCAAAGAACAAAAAAGTCATTAAGAATTACTACAGGACACACAGAGAACTACTACAGCAACAGCTCTCACAGCTGAATCACTGCCACCCTGCACAGCCTTCCTGGATTTCACACACACATTGAAGCATGAAAATTGTTTTTTCTTCTTAAGACAGATGTCTTGATTGATACACATTTATCACAAGGTTTATTTTCTGGTTGGCCTGAAACATCTTAGCATCTTCATTTGTGGAACAAACACACCTAAAGGTCTTTCAGGCAGGTAGTTTGTTGACCAAGAATTATTCTGGAGAAGCTCCGTCTTTACTCTAAAGAGATATGCAAAGTCCTGAGTAAATACCTCTGTGTTTTTACCATCCCCAGCCCTACAATGATATTTCTGCTCCCTCTGCATCCTACAGCCAAATCAGCCAAGATGTTTGCCCCAGCTCCCCACACAGGACCATCACGAACACCAGCCTGAGCTGCACACCCTGCAGCTCGAGGCCAGGTGCTCGGCTACCGCACACCACGCCACAGACTTGCTAAGTTCATCTCCTCCCAGGGTGATTCATCCCTTCCCAGGGTGAATCAAGGGCAACATGCCATTTAGCAGAACATTAAAAAGCACAGGAGGGTGAACAACAGGAGAGGACTGGCTCTGTGCGTTTCCTAGAGGACTGATTGACCAGCACAGGACACCAACCAGGCGGTGGGGAAGAGGCCAGGACACAGCACAGCACAGGACAGTGTGGCACAGGACAGGGTACTCAGGCACTCGTCAGACTTAACAGATGAGCTTCCATTCTCCCATTTCCCTTTTGGATTTCTCCAAAAGCTCCTGACGTACTGTCATCAACAGCTGCTTCTTCTTCCTCCGCTCGCTCCTTGGATTTTAAAGGATATATGATTTGTAATTTTATTCTTGCATACCAGCCACCACAAACCTGGATAGCAGGCTCAGCAGTAAGATGGCATAACATTAAGGGTGCTGCACTCCAGTTTGCAGGCACGTTGCTTGGTAATACACACTTACAAAGACAATGTAAATATCCCAATGTATTTGAGCAATTGCTCTTTTGAATATGTTACAGGTTCCCATGCTCACCACGAGCATACACTTCTGAATACCAAGCCAGAACTAGTTAGCTAACTTTCTGCTAAACTACCTTTCAGTCAACAGCCTGAAAGCTTTAAAGCACTCATGAGGAAGTAAAATGTCTTTTTTGGATGCCATGGAGGACTTTTCTAAAAATATGCTGACACAGGAAATACCTATGAAGATATCCAAGAGATTACAAAGCTTCCTGTTAATATAGCAATTGTAAATTTCCAGTGAGAACAATGTGGCAACTGCTAAATTTATGTTCCAAAAACATAAGCTGTGTTTGTGATTATCATCTAGTCATACATGTGTGCATGCATTCGAGGTGCATGTATAAGTTAGTTGTAGAAGCAAACGGCTCTAGTTTATGCACTGAATTAACTGCAAAGCTTCCAAAAAGGAGGAGGCCCAAATACAGAGACTGCTTCTGGAATACTTTAAGAAAAAAAAAAATCAATTCCTATTTTTAAAGTGCCCAAAGTGTATTAGCTGAAAGACTAAAAAAAAAAAAAATCATATTTGTGATGCTATGCCATCAACAATGACTTAATATACGCTAAGAAGATAGCAAGAAAAAAAAAAAAAAAAAAAAAAACTCTCAGAGGGACAACACTCCAGCTACTACTGCTGTCTCCCCATCAGGCTGGACAGCTTTCTTCCAGAGGCTCAGACATGACTGATTCAACTATGGCAAGGAGGAGGAGGAAATGATGAAAAGAATGAGGGGTTAACTCTGCAGTTACTTACAAGAACTTCCTCTAAAATAAATAGCTACACAGAGGGGAAAAAAGAACTTACAAGAAATATTTTACAAATATGCTGGAGTGGCTACACCATAAACCAAAATGAACATAAGCCTTTTGACACTGAAGGTCAAGGGAGCCCTGAAGATCCTTGACAGTAAAAACACATAGCTTTGTTTGATACCACAGAGGAGAAGCAGCCGTGGAAAGGTCACAGAGTGGCTCAGAAAAGCAACCTGCAGCAGCTTTTTGAGCGGCAGAGAAAAATCTCTATCATACTTGTTGCACACCAGAGAAAAAAGATCAGAAAATGAAATATGATGAGTATTTGTGAGAACCTGAGCAGCATGGGCAGTCCTAATGAAAAGCAAACATGCACCATTCTCTCCGGGCTCAGAGGTAAGGAGATGGCAGGACAGGCATTTACATTCCCAGTCCAGGCAGAGGTGGTGGAAGCCCCCAAAGCAGCTGGTGGACATACACAAAACCTGAGCAGCCACAGCCTGGGACAGCTGATCCCAAGCCAACGTCCCTTCCAGCCTAACTGAGCCTGTTGCTCTCTGCGTGTGAAGTACACACCGTTATTATCCCGAACAGACTGCTGCATTTTTGGGGAAATAAATACATTTAACCTGACACACAAGGTAGTACCAGTGCATTTGATCTGCAGTGAATTCCAACAACATACTGCAAGATGCTTTTGGAATGGATTTTTGGAAATACTGTTTATTCTTCCCAAATAAAAATTTTAAATGAACAGATGAAAGCTGGAAGGCGCAGAGACAGCAGGTAAGCTGGCCCTTAAACTGGTCACCTGCTCAGCCCCTGCCTGCTGCCCGATCTGCCGCAGGAACCCAAAGGGGAAGAGGGGTCAAGAGAGCAATTTGAAAGGAACCGGGTGTAAACACCACCCTACTTCAGAGTCCTTAAATGTTCTCTGAACAGCTCGATTTTACTTTCACAGGTGTCTGCACGCTGCAAGAGGTGAGGAACAGCTTTTTTAATATAGTCTAAAGGCTTTGACAACTCCATACATGAAGGCTTCACAACCCCTCGCCCCCCTCCAGTAGCAAGCCTAGGTCAGAGCTGCACAAGCTGTCAGGCCTGGGCTGCCCAAGAAACCACCTGCAGGGATGGGGGAGTCGCTCTGTTGTCCTTCCCCCTGATTTCCTAGCATATTCACTGCTAACAAGTACCACAAACCCACCATGCTTCTTACCTACCACACGCTGAAACCCAGCACTTGGACATTCCCCAGCAGCCTCCTGCCACAATTCAGCACCCACGTTTAACATGCGATGACAACACATAACTTTTCCAGAGAGCTGTAAACAGAGACGCCGGGAGCTCTGCAGGTTCCCACACTATTTTCACAGTGCACTACCTTTTCCCATATACTTCCCACTTCGAGCCTTGTAAATCAAGTAAGGACACTAAACAAGTTTGCCACATTCGAAATGGGAAAGAACAAGTCTGGTTCGTGTAACCGTAAGCATGACACACCAATGGGTCTCTGACTGAGCCAGCCTGTGTACTGCTTTGGTCTCAAGACTAATTAGTGTTTTCACAATTATTATTATTACTGAATATCATTCTTTCCAGCTCTTGAGTATTTAACTGCTAGTTTGCCTAGAAGGCAGAATACTAATTTGACTTCATAAGAAACAAACTTTTTTGTAGTATTAAGCAAAATTAACTGTATTTCAAATACTCAATTTGTTGAAAGAAAATTCAAAGCAAATATTTTTAAAACCACTTTGTCTTGGCTTCTTTATAGTTATTGAATCAATGAGGTATTCATATTTCAATACCTTGAACTGTCAACATCTCTCAGACAGCTCTGCTAAACAGTCTAAATAGCCTGCAGAGCTTATTCAGCATTAGTTACTCATTTATTAGGGTATACATAGCTAATGGCCCCAGCTGTCAAATACTTTCGGTGATCATGTGGTATGATAACAATCCTTTCCTATGTCATATATAGAGATGAGAGGTTCTACATTCTACAGGTTACAAAAAATAAATTTATGGCTATCCCCAGAAACCACAGAAATGATCAAAAGATAAAATTAACCATAGAAACACAGAATTTTTACTCTTTGGTCTCAAAAATATGCATACTAGGAAAGCCTGCAGAATTATCACTTAGTATCATTGATTTTCCAGCTTAGCAGCAGGGATGCTAGCAAGATCACAGTAATGATTAAAAGAGCTCAATGCTACTTTGTTTAACAATGCTACTAAGAAAAACCCGCTGCATGTGCTAAATAGGCTTTGCTAACAAAAGCAGAATACTACCATCTGAATAGCTTTTTTAAATGCTTTCCATTACATATATGCAGTCAATGAATTTAGAGTTGGCTTGTAGCAACTGCGAGCATTTCAGCAGAAACTTGTTTGTAACTAATTAAAGCCTTTAACAGGATTCACATTTTTAGTGAATTGTGGTGTTTTCTTACTTGTTTTTTTGTTTGTTTGTTTTGTTGTTTTTGTTTTTTTTTTTGTTTTTTTTTTTTTTTTTAAAGAATTGCTAAAGTTGTGTCTTAGCAAGCAATGCAATTGAGAAAGTTCATTTTATAGTCTTGTTTGTAAAACAAAGACCAATAACTGATCAGGACTTTCATGTTGTTCTTGTAAGATTGCTACTTAAGGTTTGATCCCTACCACTCCCAACTTATTGAAAGGAACCATAAAGCACATATTCCACTTCAAGTTTACATGCTGTTAGAAGTTAAATCTACTTTTTAAGGCTTTCTGGTGGTGGCTCATTCAGAACAGCCCGATGCAGTGATACACATTAGCCTAAGTCCTAGCTTTTCTAGGACCTGCACTGGCATGGCTGCCACCACTATCAGGCATGGCCTAAGCCATCATTTCTGGGGACTGTGGAAAGTAGGAAGTCTTATACTGAACATGCAAACAAAAGAGGTGTGCTTGATTATTCCATCCAGCACATATTAAAAATAAAAAAAAAAAATGTATCTTAAAGGCTAAGATTATGAAATGCAAAGGAATTTGGGTTTCAAAGTTCAATTTAATTTCACTGTAAACTACATTGACATTTTTTCTTGTTAATTTCAACTCAGATCCTCTAACCAGTCTGCTGCCTGGCCACGTGAGCCTACAAACACTTGTGCCAGCAAATGAAAATGGGAGATGTCAGGGAACCAGGGAAAACGATTCTGGCAGGAACATGAGTCTACACCTACTAAAACTGATGGAGAAAACATGACTTATGCATTTTTAAGCTGCTGGAGTTACTTTACATAAAACCCCAGTAAAAGCTAAACTGAGAGCCCAAGATTTTGATTAGTAACATTTGAGCAGTTGCAAATCTGTTGCTAAAAGAATATCCAGAATACCTTGTGTTGGTAAGAGAACCACCTTGTATTTTGCAAGGGGAAAAAAAGAAGAAAAACTTCAGCTGAATATTCCAGTAGCAAGTGAAAAGACTTGTTTCAGTACAGTCTCAGACACTGTTTGGCTGGCTGTGCAATGACTTAATACTCACAACTGACAGCTGACTCCACGTTGATCTCAGGGGCTTATAGTGAAAAACAACCTTTTCATCTGATTTCTGCTCTCGGGGCTCAGACTCTTCATCAGAATCTATATCCAGCGCTTTTTCTTTATAGTTCTGATATAACACATTGTTTTCTATAAAACAACAACAGCATGTCATTAATTGCTAGAAAGTTAGCTTAGTTGCTTTCAAAAAAAAAATTAAGTAACATTTAAACAATGAAAGAAACTAAAACGTCAATGTGCTGTTCACAAACTCCAAAAGACAAAGATAGTATCTTATTTAGGATGGACAATGGTGCAGTACAGTAACAATGGATCACTGTACCACTACCAAAAAAGATCCACACTGACTGAATTAAAGAACAGATGTGTCCTTTGTCAAGAAAAAACAGACAACAATTTTTTCTTCCTTGGTTTGCTGTACAATGTTTCATAATTAGCCAGCAATTTAAGAACGGAACAAGCGTGTCAGTAGAGCAGTCACTAATCCGGAGGTCTGGCTATTTTAATCGGAAGGACCATTGTAAGTCCAATACACGTCTACTTTTATTGCCAGCTTTAAAGCCTCTCTTCGCACTTCACTAAGTGAACAAAATAGCCCAAACTTCAGAAATCTCAAGTCAGAACTATTCAAAACAGAAACTTCAAAGTTTGCTTGAATAAGCATGGGGCCTATGAATCTGAAAATGAAACGTGCTTTTCACCTGTTCCAGTACTGCCAGCATTAAGTCAGTTACAACAATGGCAGAGACAGAGATGTGAAGCGTCCCCTTCCCATTTCTCATGCGGGTGAAACTGCCATCACACATCCATGGGCTTACTGCCAGGCAAGTGTTTTTTTTGTGCTGAATTACTGGGAAAAGCAGCGAACTTGACAAAGCTCGAAATTAATGAATAGCATGAAAGGGCAGATACATGGGCAGTGTTCCTCTGACACCTGAACTTGAAGGCTAGGTAGCAAGAAAAGTAAAGGATTAAGGAGTCAAGGAATTCACTCCAGCAGTCCCAGCATTTTTGCTTATGACAAAGAGGGAGAAAAAGCTGCATTAACCATGAACTTTGAGAGAAACAGTTCAGGGATCTGCTGCAGGGGATGACCCCTCAACCTCTACGCTGATCCACAAAAGCTGTCTCACACCTGGCAGGAGTCACAGGAAACAGGCAGGAAGACAGTCCCAACCGGAGGGCAAGCCTTACCTATGTAATTCCATAGAGCCGTAAGGGCTGAGATAGACACATCAACCAATTCTTTTAAGAGGAACAGGAGTCTAATTTGAGAAGATACCCTTCAAGCAAAAGCATGTTTGTAACCTGCCATTCCATATTCATCAAAATATTCATTGAAATATACCCAGTGCCAAAACTATGGTTCCATATTATAATCAATTTAAGTACCTAAAAACAAGGTACTTAGTCTTTGACCCAGCATTAAAGAATTGTGCAAAATGGTATTTAAGTTCACTTCTCTTGTGATTGAGCATCCCATCAAGTCTGTACAGAAAAGGGCTTACCTTCCCCATCAAATGTCCCTTGTCCTTTCAGCGTTTTCTTCTAACAAATTTAAGAGGAAAGAGATACACATTAAAAGAAGAAAGCAAAATAATCAACAATAACAACAACTTCCACTTTATTCCAAATTAAAGGCCCTAATCTATAAACCTTTTATGTTGGAGAAGTATTTGTGGAAACAACTGTTTCATCAGAGAAACTGAAAAGCTACCACAGATTTTTCTATGCATATGTTGTTTATATATTTGTCCTGAACGTTTTATTGTTTTTATGCTTTCAAAAGCATAACACATACTAACTTTACAAGAGCTCAGCGAACTTGTAACTCATTTCACTGTCTCTGGGCTTTGCTGCAAGGCTCTAAGGCGATCTGAGGGGATCTGAGTAGCTGTCTAAAGCATTCCACACACTCTGCAAAGAACAACCACATTAGGCATTTTGTAAATGAATGTTTACAAAATGAGCAAGACAAACCTTTGAAATGCAACAGTTGTTTTGGTGCAACAATCTGGGTCTATGTAGTCAATTTCAAAAGTGCTACTGGCAGAAAGAGTTTTGTGTGTAAAGACAGGGCAATATCACAGCAGCCTACTTTAAACAGCTTCTTGCTGTTACTGATAAAAGTCTACTACCAAAACAATTCCAAAAAAGCTCCTTTCTCAGTAGTTCACAATTTGATCTATTGCTATTTCACCACTTGTCCCATTTTCACAAAAACCTCTGTAATTTTTAGTTTGGCTAAAAACTGTCAAAAAGCTGATAATTATTTTAACAGGTACAGCATTAGCCCTTTGCCTGGAGTACTTTATAACACATTTCCAAAACACTCTTCGGAAATTTACCAGGATGTTTACAAAAAAGTAACTTGCAGGTGTTGGAATTAAGCCACAAAAAAAGATAATCAAAGTGGCTCTGTCAATTTAAAAACCACACTCTGATTTTTTTAAGTACTTTTACAGTAATATCTCAGCCAGCAGTAGGGTGTAAGTTTATTTTTCTGTCAGCCCATTCTCTCTTACAGCCAGGACATAATAAACTCAGTTTGACTTTTTATTTTTTATTTTTTTTTTCCTGTTTCTACTTTCTGGGGAACAGGTTTTATAATATCAATTTGATTGTGAAACTAAACCTAAACGTGCTGGGGAATCCAGCAGGAAATGCAAGCATGACGCTGCTGTTACCACATTTTTGAGCTGCCTAGATTTCAACAGAACTGTGTCCCTGACGCCTCTGCCACTTCACTTTGGAAGCACCACTCCTATAAGTCATCTGTGGGACTCGTCAATGACTGCAAAAAGGCTGTTGCTAGCAAAAAAAAAAAAAAAAAAAAAAAAACAGGACTAAAAAGGACTAAAACAAGCACTTATGGACAACTAGAGATTGCACCCTGTTCTAGCATGCAGTCTACAACACTCAGTGATCCGTCACTCACTGCTCAGCACAACTTACCTTTGTCCTCCCCAAGCTTGAGAATTTCTCTTTATCTTCAACCACCGCTTTAAGGATGGGCTGAGACATCCTGTTCTTCTTCTTGAAGTTGGACGAGCTGTCGAAGTCGATGCCGCTCACTACGGCCCTGCGGTACGAGGTGGAGCGCAAGCCGCGTCTCAGCGCCCCCGGGCTGTCCAGGTCCCCCTCGGCCTCCTCCTCGCCGTCGGCTACCAGGGGCACGCTGAGGCTCTCCACCATGCTGCGGACCTTGAGCACCCTCCTGTTGGCCTCCGCATTGTGGCCGCCGCTTTTGCTCGTCACCTTGATGTCGGACGCCAAGCTCCTGGGGATGAGCTGCTGCGTGCCCACTTTGAGCGCGGCGGGGCTGTTGGTGCTCAGGACGACGGCTGGCTGCTCCGGGAGCTGCCCCTCGGGGGCCGGGCCCTGAGGAGTTAAGTCTTGCTCCGGGGAAATCGCCCGGGAGACGGCGGCGGGCCCCGCTGGCACTTGCTCGGGGTTCTTATAAGGCTGCCCGGGCTGCCCGCCGCTCGGGGAGAGCTCATTTCCAGCGGCCGGGAGCTGCGGGCCGGGGCTGGCTGCGCTCCGCTGCCGGGGGCTGGGAGCCCTCCGGGACCCCCGAGCCGGCTGCCGGCCCTGCGGGGCGGCCGTGCCGTTCTCCGCGAGCCCGAGGGGGCCGGCGGGGCCCGGCGACGGGAGGCGAGGGGGCTGCTCGGGGCAGCCGGGGGGCCGCAGGGTCCCGTTGGGCGCCGGGGCCGGCTCGGAGCCGAAGCAGGGGGGCGCCGTCCGTGGCGGGCGGGTGCAGATGGTTTCAGCGGGCTGGGTGACGGTGAAGGCGCACCTGTCCTCCACCGGGAAGTCGGTGACGAGCACCCCGCTGGGGCTCTGGTACGACTGCGGCCGCGGCTTGCCCCGGCCGTGCTGCCGCGGCGTCGCCCTCCTCTTCCACAGCGGCGCCGCGCTGCTGCCGCCCAGCTCGGCCTCGCTGCCCCCGTCCATCGCCGGCTCCGGCTCCTCGCCGCCGCCTCCAGGAGGAAGCAGCCCCGCGGCTCGGCTCAGCGCACCGCCACAACCCCGCACGGCGGGCGCCGGGCCAGCGGAGGAGGGGACGGCCCGGCACGGGCAGGAGCTGCCCCGGCCCGCCCGCACCCCCGGGGCCGCGCTCCCCGCCGCCGGGCTCCGCTCCCACCTGCGAGCGCCCCGCTGCCGCCCCGGCCCCCCCCCACCCCCCCTCGGCGGCTTCACCTCATCGCGGCGCCCCCCCCGGCCTTTGGAGGTGGTGGTGGTGGAGGGGGGGGGGTTACGGCGGCCGCCTCCCGCCCCACCTGCGGCTCGGTCCCGGCTTTTCCGCAGCCCTTTGCGGGCTGTCCCGGCTCGGCTCGGCCCCGCCGCGCGGCTCCTCCCCTGCCCTCCGCCCTCGGGCCTGCGCCCAGCAGGTACCGGCGGCTCCCCGGGAGCTCACCGCAGGGCCCCGGGGGGCCTCACCGTGAATAAACGGGGTCACACCTCACCAAAACACGAATTAATTCACCTCGGTGTTAATATAAAGACGGGTGTCCCCTGGGCTGCCAGGTCCACAGAGTTCAGTGGGGAGAGGGCAGCACCCAGACCAGTTGGGATGGGTGGCAGGGCTGGCCAGCCCGCAGGTGCTCCAGGCCTTTCCTCAAAGCTTACTACTTGTGGTAATCCTGTGAGGAATGCACCAGGACTCATCTCTCGTGCTGTGGGCAGCCCTGGTGCCGCCCTGCCACCCCCTAGGCCGCTCCTGCCACAGCTTCACTGGGTGCTCTGGTGCTGGGGGAAAGCTGGGAGCGGCTTTCTGGTACGAAAATGGGAAATGAATGGTGAATTTACTGGTAATTCTGGCAAATGACAGCAAAACCTGTGCTATTAGGTAACTTAGAAGAACCAAGTGGGATTTAAGAAGAAAAGCTGAACACATGCTTCGTGTGGGGGCAGTGCGTGCTCGGCCCCTCACCTGCAGGCAGGACCCTGATGAGGCCCCGAGGGTCAGGACACCCACGGGTTGTGGGGAGCACCCAGGACACGGTGCTGACTGCCCCAGCACCGCTCTGACCAGGGCAGGAGGCTCGCTGCAGGCAGGGTCCCAGCTGGCAATCTGTTTTACAAGCTATCACGTCACAGTATGCAGAGCATTCAGCACACGTGTTTATTTAGTTCCAGGATTACTTGTCAAAATAACAATTTAGGATTGTTGCTTTCCTAGCCTTAAACCTCAAAACTGCATTACTTGTTGGGCTTCCCTCGGACGCAGGGAAGCTGGAATCCAGGTCTGATTTCCATCCCTGTGCAATGCATCTGGCCAGGGACGGCAGAACAGAAATACCCTGAATACCTGCGGATGCTTGGATCCTGGCCCTGGGACACTCTCCAACCCAGAGTGTTGGAGGTGGGAAAATCAGGCGCTGAAGAACTTGTGGTGCATACCTATGGCTGTTCATCTTGGCCTTCACCCTCAGCCTTTCTGCCACCCACAGCTGTGAAGCACTCAGGCCATTTACATCCCACTGAGCTCCAGGAAACAGCCAAGTAGCTCAGGCCAGCGGATGCTTTGTTACGCTGAGCACCTTTCCTCCCACCTGGCTGCCAGGGCTGCCATCACCTCCAAGATGCAAACTTGATTTCTCCACAGATTTCAGCCTAAAAAAAGTAGCACACAAAGCTTTAATGTGGAGACCTGGGCCTATGGCTGATCTGTTTTACAGCACACAACAGCAACACCGCATGGTGAACGCTTTGCTGGCGGAGCTCTGCCACCCAGCAACCACCTTGGGGCTTTCTTTAGGGCTCCAGGCTCAGGGGTTTGTAGCAGGGAGGTCTGGGGCCATGGGGAGAGGGACGCAGGGACGGGTGTGCTACGCAGCTGTGGCACAGACGGTCCCTGTACGGGCGCACAAATTTTCCAACGCCAGTCAGCAAAACCACTTGCTTATTTAAAGATGGGCACCTGCTTGAGTTCCTGGCTGTACTTCAAGGGAGAAAAGCCAAAAGAAAAAAATAAATTGTTAGAATTTCAATTGCTCTTTTCTCCAGACTTCAAGAGTTCGTGTATCAATGAATTGGAAAAAAAAAATAGAGTAGATTAAAATTGCTTTATTACTCATCCAACCACATGTACACATGCATGAACTTTAGATAAATAAATTCTTCTGCCAGAAAAAAATCCATGAAAAACAAAATAATTAGTAAGAATAAAATGAAGCAAGGCACATTAAAATTAAAACTGACAAATGTTTTGTCTCACTAATGAGACAAACCTTAAAATTGCCACACCAACTTCAAACAACCAAAGCACACACGGAAAAGCCACGGGCATAACCTAAAATGCTAGTTCAGTTGTCACTTAGGATTTCACAGCCTTATGCGGTAATTATAAAGAAAACTCACACAGAGAATTCTTTCTAAAATTATCTCTTAACTTTCCACATGAAATTGCCAAGAAATTGGATACAGTTGCAGCATATTACTTAACTCATAAATCCTAATTATTAATAATTGAGGTAATCAGCTTTTACAAGATTATTCTGTCACACATACTTATTAACTATGATGCACTTACAAGAATAATTTTTGCTTCTGAATGGCCACCTCAGCGTTCGATTTCATACCCTGGATAAAAGAAATACGACTCACAATAAAATTAAAGTTGTAATAGAAGTAGAACCAACTATATAATTTAAGAGAAGCAGGAAATTGAAATGTAGTTATTAACACCTCATACAAAGTAAAGTCTCAGTGTAAAATCAGTAAGGTGCTTTTTTAGCTGAGAAAAATCTGAAATGAACTAAATAGAGGCAGGGAGAGTGTGCCTGTCTGTAGGGCTGGTTACAGATGAGGCTCAGCTGTTTGCCAAGCGTAAAACCCCAAACATTGCACACAGGGAAGAAATCTGCTAGTACAGCTTTCATCCCTGTCTTCACAGCAATCAGGTTACCCCAGTCAGTGACCCTGAACATTCACTAGTGAAAATTAAGTCAATCCTCTGTTTCCTAGCTAGTGCAAATGACCTAAAAGCTGATGTAACGAATCTGCAGCAAACCAGAAAGCATTTCTGTACCTGCCTGCCACTAAACATGCCAATATCGCCCTTGCTACCCAGAAGACTGTTTGTCATAGCTACTACCAGGCAGACAATTAAAAGGCATGCACAGATCTGTTCAGTGGTGGATGTGGTTATTCCCTGAAAATCCACCAAGGAAAATGAGGGATTATTCATCTTTCCCCACATTCAAATCAAGAGCATACTTTTCTCAGCCTGATAACCTCTTCCACAAACCTCAGTGCACCGGTAACTGAGTAAACTGGGACGGCTCGTGCATATGGGAGATCAGACCAGAGAGACTCTGGGTCTCTCTTCATGCTCAGCACTACACGTGTACCTCTATGCTGGAAGTTTCAAATATATTCAAAAGTTTTACCATGCTTAGAGCTTTTACAAGGCCGGCCTTGTGCTACCAAACCACAAAGCAAATGCACAGAACTGCTGTCATATTATTCTTACTCCTTATCTTCTGGTACCACGTGCCGAAGATTAGCTTCTTACGCATTAACAGCTTTTTCATGTTATCCCAATGGAATTTTAGAGCTGTGGAAGAGCAATCACTGCATTTATCTCACCTGTTATTTACTTCTCTAACAAGTACACAAGATGAACTAAAAGGTTGAAAATCCAAATGAATTACACTGATTTATATGAACTGAATCTCCTAAGCATTAACTCTTCCAGAAAGTTACAATGTGCAATGTGACAGAAGAGGAAGAAAAATAATTGGGCATTATTTATGTTAAGTTTCAAAAAGCTTTCATATACATTGCTGAGCTCTTGTATGTTGGGGGTCTCTAGTTCTTCAGCTTTGCAGACAACCTGGAGATATTCAGGAAAATTCTCTAGAAGTGTCTTTAAATAAAGGGACTTATATTGTTTGCTGCACCAATGCTTCTTAATCCATACTTTTATCAGTCCCCTCTCTCTCCCAGTTGTTTTGAGGACATAGGGAGATATGAAACAAGAACAAGCGCCCATGGAAACTGACTGCAGCAGAAATAAACGCTGTAAATTTGCTGTGAGTTACACGGCTTCAAAATTGTCCTTTTTCAAAGCCAGGTCCCATGCGCTGCACTGGCAGCTATGAGATATCAATATAAATATTCTCTTTAAGCTCTTTTCATGACTTCAGGCAGTCTGTTTACAGTTACTTGGAAAAGAGCCAACTGTTCTCAGAAGATTAGTGCCAGTCTCCATCTCGTAATTAGCATGCATGAATGAATAAGACTCTCACTGTCTCCCAGAGCCCTGCCACGACAACAGGAGCGACAGAGGTCACCCCAAACTGAAGCACAGACCAGATGCAAGTGTGCTGCAGCCAGGCCACTGGCAGAATGCTTCTGCTGCTGCTTCCTGCGCTCTGGCAGGGCCACGAACTTCAAGGGAGCGGTGCCAGTGCGAGCAGGAGATCTGTGCTGAGGAGGACACTCGTTCCCCACCGCCACAGGCAGTGGCAGTGCACCGCCAGCCCCAGCACCCAGCAGGGACACAGCCTCGCTCCTCTCCCTGTCCTGCCCGCTCTGTCCCGTACTGCTACAGACTGTGAGAGATTTTGCTCTGGGTAACACTCAGCTAAATTGTAAATGTAAATCGATCAGACAGCCAAAGGTGGGTTCCTTAATTCTTTCAGTTTTTCTCTCAATCGTTTTTGCTGTTGCTAAAATAATCAGCACAGGCAGGAAGCTCTGCAGCATTAGCTAAAAGCTTTCAGGGACAAAAAACCCCAACAGATTGCACTGCAGTAATACAGAACCTGTTGGTGCCTGCATTCTAATTGCCTTCCTTTCAGCCAAGGCATATGGAAACAAATGTTTCACTGCCAGCTTATTCTCTCCCTATCCCTTGCCCAAAACCACCCCTCCTTTCTCACCACGGATGGTCCCAGTAAGGTCCAGCTGTGGGCACTGTGTAAAACCCACAGACTGAGTCACTTCATGTGCACCAGTGTGCCCCTGAGGTACTTCAGATGTGATCTCAGCTTACGTTAATGGGAAATATACAGCAGGATTTGATGTTTCCATCAAGGACTAACAACTTTGAAGCAAGTCTCAATACTTACTGCTAAACTGGGACGTAGCTTGGAACAGGACAGCAGAAAGGGAGTAGGAAAGAATGAGCACCCTCTGAGACATGCCTGGTGCTTGAGGTCTGCTGCCTCCTTGGTCCTTGTCATGCAAGTTATGAACTTCCCATCTGCACCATTATAAAAACAACCCTATGTTTACTAACACTTAAGCTGATGCTACTGGTTAACCAGGTCTGTTAACAGCAACCTTCCCTAATAATGTTTGTTCACTGCCTGCATCGAGGGTGGCTCCTCAGGGCATCTCCTGCAGCGTGAGGGC